TTGCACCTTCACGGCACAACAGACTGCGCGCTTGCGCCATCAGCGCGTAATAACGCTCTTCGAAATTTGAACGTTCCTCATATTCGTCCTCTGGCTTGTCGGAACACACCTCAATCTCCACCTGTAATTCATCGAATTGATCGTATAAGGCCTCGTATTTATTTAGTCGACATTGCAATTCATTTAACAGTGGTAGAGCCCGCTTTAACATCTTCGCACGAATCGGCCCGGCTCGCCCGGTGAAATACCACGACCACACAGAAGACAGGCGTGAAGTGGAAGCAATTCCGCGTTTCGTCTGATGAGTGTGCGTCCCGGAGGCCAAAATTAGTCCTCTTTCCCTTCCCACCCTTTTTCTTATAAGGAAAGGATGGGAAGTGGTAGTGGACTTTCCGGATAAGAGGATGCATGGAAAGGGAAAATATTTTCTTTCTGTGCATCCTCCTCTCCGTCGATTAAAGGTAGGCAACGCATATGCAATTGCGTATGTCTATGGGCAACGGTCACTTCGCTGTTTTAGCGATTTTAGGTGGCCGCTCGCTCGTTTGCCACCTTGTGATATAAAAAAAAAAATGTTGAAGTTCGGAAATTATGCCAGAAGCGCTAATTGAGCTAATATAATTAGAAAAATTTGTAAGCTTGGCTTTCATGCCACTACGTTTTCGAATTAAAACATCTAGTTGGGCCATTATTAAATTAAAAGGAAAAAATTATCGATAAGTTATACGACGAAGAAAAAAATATATAATGTGGGTACTTCACTATTTGGTAATTAGTCGCTCGTAAATGCGTAAGCGTGAAATTGAACAATTATATTAACACAATAGGAAGCCAATTGAAGAGGATTTAGAAGGGAAAATATGGAACGAACTCACTTTATCTTCCCTTGTCCACACAGTACTTCCTTTGTCTTGATGTTCGATTCCGACGACCGTTGAGCCGATTGAACTTGAAGAGGTGCATTCATTCATCTGCAACAGAATGAAATGGTAGTTAATTGATTCAAGTGTACAACATAATCAATTTAATTATTGCTTTTCACCTAATTACATACCTTATTAAAAAAAAGTGGTTTCTTTGATTTTATGGATCTCTTCCCCTTTACTTACAAAACTTCTTTGCAATTCTCTACAATGATGGAACTCACAAACCATGTAAAAAAATTATGATTAGTTTTTACAGGTACAGATAGGAACTTTTATTGCCTGCCCATTTTTGTGAAATGTCTGATAGAATCATAAATCAAATTAGTTTGAAAAACTTGTCATGTCATGACCAATTTACAGTTTGATCTACAATATTTGAAACAATAATAGAGAGATATTCTACACATAACCTAAATAAGGTTTAAGTTAATCTTTATTATTGAATCTTTTTCATGTTTCGAGCAAACCATTTTATACTAAATATCAAGCCAATTTAAAAGGTTAAAATTGTTCAAGTAATTGCTGGAAATATAATATGTGCTTACTTACTTAATATTTACCGCTTACCATGTAGAATTTGGCATATGTCTTGTACTTACTTTTATGTTATTTTCATCAATTTTTGTTGTAAATTTATTTTTCAGCAATCAGCAAAAGATCATAAGTTCTAGTTCAACATTTAGTTCTTTTAAATATGAATAGACTGTAAAATTTTATCTTTAT